ATAACTCCGAGCGTAGGCGCAGCTTTAGCGCGAAGAAGACGCAGCGTGTATTTTTAGTATAGGTTCTAGTCAGTGGCTAATAACGTAAAGAACTGCGAATGCTATACTTACTCATATCTTTCCGAAAGCATGATCAATCGCAGCATTCATTACTTGGTGGCTTCTTTGAGTGGCAACTTAGCGAGCATTAATCCCGACTATGGAGGAAACAAGCCAGAACCTTATAAACGCATTTGTTGTGCTTCGTAACACAATGGAATGCGTAGTGTTTTTCTACGATGCTTATTTACTAGGAAAATTCACTAGCAAGTATACTACTACGTGGGCCTCAGATTGGGGACTGTGGCTCATCCCTAGTTTCTAGCTCTACTGTTTGGTCTATAGTTACACACAGGGATGCATCACGTAGCGTGTAGATATTGACTTTGGCAGGTCTCGAGATCTTGGACGGTTAGTGGTAGTGATACATGAGAAAAAAATTATCAAGCCGAACGTGCTTTTTCTAGTGTTATGAATCAACAATTATGTCAACCATGACTCGTTAGGCTCGTACTATATTTCGTGATTAATTTTGCTCAAGCGCATCGAAAGTTGAGCTCTCCTTAGTATGAACTCTCTGATGTGCTTACTACCTGTCTAGTCAATGAAAAAAGAAATATTAATGTACGAGAAGCTGTAGCTTATATTGTACATTGTTATTACACCAGAAAAGCGAGCGGTTAGATAGTGTTAAGCACTACGGTGTGTACTTAATGTAAGTAATGATCAAGTTAGTGAGTAGAAGGAATCGAGGCCGAAAACACAGAACGTAGGAAAGTGCCCCCCTATTAGACAATGTTTTTATTAGACCTCCTCCTTACTTCCCAGGAACATATTAGGTATAGACATAGACTAGGTAATCACAAGGCACTTCTTATGTGGTTTAACTGTGTGTTACTATTAATCGTAGGTTATATATCTCGTAATCTGAGGTCAAGCTAGTCTACGTCTACGTCGCGTAGTAAGGTCCGTGTCTTAAGTGCTGGACTAAGACTCTACACGCTACGTTCGAGCTGTACCATACTAGCGCCTTTGCTGTGAGATCGTCGCATCCAGAATTAGACTATACAACACCCCGGAGCAGAATTGTTTTTTCGTGAACTTGCATCGATGTATAAGCTTGCTTTTGAGCTTTTACGTCTGATAAGAGACGAATAATCAAATTATCAAATATATACTGAAATAGTTGATCGCTATATCGCTCTACGACTTCATACCGTATGCTTTGAGTCTGCCCGACATAGATTTTGTTAGTAAGTCTGCTAACAAAATAGAGCATTAATGAATTATGCAAATTCTCAAGCTAGATATCATCAGGTTACGAGAACAATTGGCTGACAGACATAGCCGCGGCGTCAACTACTAAAAGAATAGAGGTTGTATATGAATCGCGTCACTCCAATTAACCACTCACTAATAGTCGAATCTTAAGAACCGCGACGACATTGTTGCAACAAAATGAATTCATACTTTATTTCTTATATTACAACGAGAGGCCATTGGAGTACATACTTCTGGACCTAGCAGTATTAGGTTTTCATGAGACAATTTCTTAATGAGTTGGTATCTCTTAGCTCTTAATTCAGTACGTCAGAGGTATTGGTGTATATGATTAGGTTATTGTTATTTGACACATAAAAAATCAATGTCAGTCTATTTGAGTATTCATCGTATAGCTGAATAGTAGTTGATGGTAAGTAGTTCATAACTTGAGATATTATCATTATTATTAATAGTACGCTATACCTAGTCCAACGTTAAGCGAATCTGCGTATTACTCGTATAGTCAAAACCGTGCTTTAAGGGCTGGACTAAAACTCTACATGCTGCGTTCGAGCTGCGTCTTAGTGGCGCCTTCGTTATGAAATTTTCGCGTTAAAAGTTAGTCTTCACCGACCAACCTTGCCAAACTTAAGATACTTTTGATGCTAGCAAAGAAAAATAGAGATATACTGATATACTACAATAAATCTCAACGACTCTACAGATGTTTTACTAGTGGGGAGCATTTTTTACTGAGCTTAATTGAATTGATATAGAATAACATTAGACTCTTTAGAGACTCGGTTTTCCCAGACGAAGGCAGATATAGCTTCTCTTGATAGCAAGCAAAACTCGGAAATATACACAATAGCTTATTCCCGTGTTCAATATTATCTTGCACGCTCACACCCGCTCTTAACTGTCCACATACGCAAAGAAGGATATGTAATAGTATGTATGACTTACGGTCCAGCAAAATTTCAGGGCGTCTTGCACCGACGTGAAAACTTTATTGCGGACAGAGAAACATAGTGGGTTGGTAAAGATAGAGTCTCTGATTTTGGCAATGTGTTCATAAGGGTCGTGAGTTCTACAAATAGTTGGATAGCTTTTTCATATATTTTTCTACGTTACGATATATTGTTAGTAATAATGTTACGAGATACAGCTGCTGCTCCCGATACGAATTTCTGAATCATGAAACAACGTGGCGTAGTGCCAGGTCGTAACGCTTAGCAGTAGTTCACTCTGAACTTAGAAAGGCGACATCTTTCAATTGGTTTTTGTGTGCGCGCTCATAGTCTCTCTGCTGTCCGCTAGTATATGTGCTGCCTTGATAGGAATACCATACAATCTTGTCTTTGATATTATCTCTGAGCTTTTAGACTTGCCTTCTCTCGTCGGATTCATCGTGTCACGAAAATACTACCGTCCACTTTTCAAGGCTTCGGAACTAACGCTTTTACTACTGCTTTTTTATCAAACTATTCCCTATCCTCTCCGGACAACTGATTGCAGATCGCTGCTCCGATAAAGTGGCCGCTCGTGACGCGGTAGGTTTGCGTGGAGATGGGAGAAGCGAACATTATCTCGTCCATAGTGCACAGAAGTGTATCTAGAGGACTAATGGGCACCATAGGGCTGGCCTGTACGTACAACCAGCCATTCTGCACGTTGGCATTATTGTCCGCCGTCCGAATATGCGTTGTTCGGCACAATGATGCAATCTTCTGGACTCGGGCTTTGAGCTATTTAGAGTAGAGAACTACCAGGTTCGACCGGTGCACTGTATACAGAGCGTTTATTCTTTGTGGCTACCTGTCCATACAGACTCACGCTGCTAGAATTCCCAGTGATCGCCGTTAAGACTGTGCGTATTTTGGCAGCTGCCTGGGGCTTTTCGAGACAGGCAGGCTAATAGGAAAGCGAATCTGTCCGAGCCACGAGTTAAGTCCAATTGTAGTGTACGGTGGTATGGCCTCTGCGCGGACAGAGAGTACCCACGTGCAGCTTGGTTGTGTTACGAGTCTCGAGGGGGAACGGCGGACGAAGAGCCGACTTGCCCGGGTCCGCCCAGTGTTATCTCAGGCAAGACATCACGATCGTTCAGCCGATACGACCGCTAAGTCGAATGCGAAAAGACAAGGATGATGTGGAGAAACTATTAACGGTAATAATTGAGCATATCGTCGCTTCTGCTGTCCGACCTTGGTGTGGTTCATGAGGTTGAGCAGTTGGTGCGAGAGAAGCATGCTCTCATTCAAGCCTCACTGTGTAATCCAAGATGGATTCCAGTGTAGATCATGTCTAGGTTGGGCGCCAGGAAAGAAATATATTCCATAACTCTAGCATACGATTATATGTCCGCCTAAGGCATTACTCCCGGACCTAGCTAGTTGCTTATCGGTGACTACTTCCCATCGCTCAGTAATATACGCCAGGTAACCATCTCGGCTATCTGCAGCTCTACGGCCGTGGAAACATCGTAGAGGGCTGTACCTGATAGATGATCCGAAACAATTTTCCGGAACATGCCCTGGAATGCAAGACCTTGCCAGTGACCCCTGAAACATCCGCTCGTGACAGGGACAGGAGGTGACGTTATGTTCGCCAGCGCTGCAGGGGTCCAGTCCATGCCGCTCTGTCGCTACTCCTACGTAATGATAATGACGACCTGTGGCGGCGATGCCTAAACGGTGATGCTAGCTCGAAAGTTACACCGGATGATTGACTGACTGCTGTTGCTTTCACAGGCCCAGAACAGGGCGTTCGGCCACGGCCCAACATTACTTTGCTAAGTTTTTCCGGCTGCAGCTGCACTAGTGGATCAAGGTGTGGCACGTAGCGGTTTCTGCTTCTGAGTCTCTGCCTCGTTCCGTCATAGATTTCTCAAAGTCGTCGTTAGGTCGTGTAGAACTGACAGAGAGTTACACAGCTTGTCACTGCAGTCAGTACTCACGTTATATGATAGTGTGTGATAATGGGTGTAACTGGCACATACGACCATAGGATCGAGAAAATTGAGGGTCCCGTCCGCTCCCCTGTACACAAGCTCGATACCGCCGGATCAGTAGTTGGGTCGGTGACGACCAGCGAATCCCCGGTGTTGTATGTTTTTGCCGATCCTTTTGGATGTATAATGCTTTTTTGGCCCCTGCTCTGTATAGATGCCTTGCAGTGAGTGCATGTTTGAAAATTGAAAGGACAGAGGTAATCTTAACGTCAGTATTAATGATTGACCGAAACAGACAAAGCATAGCGAAACTTGTACCGATTTCGTTCAGATACTAGATGTTCATTTCGTTGTGTAGTAACAGTCGGAGCTATGCATTCTGTCCTGTTCGTTGTTCAGCTCTTATTGCCAAGGACATGTACCTTCAGCGGCAATCCCGAGCAAGTGTCTCATCCAGATAAATTTTCTCACCATGGACCCGCGACGCGTGGGCGGGATGCATTTCCCTGGTGGTACGCAAACATGTAACATCAGGCAGTAGGGTAAGAAATGCGAGCCCCACGTTAGCTAGTCCCAGAACGGGCCTAGCTTGTCCGCGCTTCCAGCTGGCTGGAGTGGGGCGCACGGCCCATGCCGGCCCCGCTTCCCCACCGTCCCGAAATAGGCCCAGGAGAAAGACACAAAATATGCATCGTTCTTCCAGCCAAAAAATTACCTCGTGTCTTGCAAGACAATAGAGGCAAAAAGCTTCGAAGGCGGATCGAACGCCTGACCTTAGGATGAATTGCCTCTAGGCGTAAGTAGCCGTACTGCAATCCCACGCTCTACCGCTGAGCTACCGAAGCTCTGGTTAGTGATGAATGTCGTTCAACTAATACTACATTGTACGAACCTGTAGGAGAGGAGAGCGAGGCGCCCCAATCAAAAGCTGGTGTATCTTGCCTACCTTGGGGTAGTAAGACAGTATAGGTATGGAAAATGCGGCAGTTCCTGGCTGGGGCGCCTCGGAGAAGAAGGGGAAACCAAAACAGGGGGTGAGGACCCCCCAGTCTAGGAAATATATATTAAGTAGTTACATTGTGACCGTGCTGAGACAAACACGGACGTGGTTTTTCCGTGGCCGCGTAACTGCTTTACTTCGACAACGCGCAACCTCCAACGATGTGCGCCTGTGTCTCATACATTTCCCCCTATGTCATAAACCTTGCGAAGCACGAGAAGCACTGCGAGACGGACCAGCTGGATCGCCCAGCCATGTTTGCAAAGGTGTGGTTGGGGCGCGCTGAATTGGCATGATACCCCAGCGGCTTGGAATTGTGCATTCTTAGCGCGCCGTTCTCTTGCCGGTCGGACAGTGCAAGACCAGAGACAGGACATGTAGCTTCAGAGCCCCGGTCTCGCTCAGGTACTTCTGGCAAGCCTCGTTAGATGGGTAATTCGCTTAATGGATGATGACAGAACCCCTGCGATAGGAGCGTCAGGGATGACTGAGAGAGCACCGATGTCGGTAAGTGCCCGCTATTTTTGTGCCGCCCCTCGTCTATGCAGCGTATAAAGTACAAAGCTCATGGTCGAGAGATCGTTTTCGAAGCCGTAAACAACTCTGGACGCGATTGAGCTGGAATGACGATGGTGGACAGCCATTCAACAAGTTTGTGTCGCAATTGGCCCTCTGCTGTGCGTGAAGGATTGGCGTCGTTGACGTCCAGCATGTTGCTATGACTGTGCTACTGAGCAGACTCATGCTGCCACCTACAAGGTTGGCTGAGTCATAAAGCCCAGCAGACGGCACATAGTACCTCAAGGCAACAAGGCTCATCAACAAGGCCGTATGTGCCATTGCTCACTGGGTTCTGAACATTCGATTGTTTCTGCAAGTGCCGCCTTCCTAAGGTATCTTACGTGTATTTAGTCTACTAGCTCACCGCCCACTACTTTTGTAGAGTGCTGTAGAGCGACCCCTCCCTCTATCTTCCCACCTTCAATTTATAACCTACAACTATCCGATTCGTGATGCTCACCAGTCGCTGCTATTGAGCCTGCAACCTCTGGATTACGACTCTGTCCTCACATTATGGCGTCCCAGGCCCCGCCGGCCGACCGTCCTGCGCCCACGCGCATCACCATCCTCGGCTCCGACTCGATCGTCGTCGACCACGGCCTTTGGCGCCACTTCGTCGCGGCCGACCTTCTCGACAACATTGCCTCGTCCACTTACGTCCTCATTACCGACACAAACCTCCGTGACCATTACGTCCCCGTCTTCCAGGATGCCTTTGCCGCAGCCCTCGAGGCCCGCGGCGGCGACGCACGGCTTCTCACATACACTGTGCCTCCAGGCGAGACCTCCAAAGGCCGTCAGACAAAGGCGGACATTGAGGATTGGATGCTCTCGCAGCGCTGCACCCGCGACACCGTCGTCATTGCTCTCGGCGGCGGTGTCATTGGTGACATGATTGGCTATGTCGCTGCCACCTTCATGCGCGGTGTGCGCTTCGTCCAGGTGCCCACCACCCTGCTAGCCATGGTCGACTCTTCAATCGGTGGTAAGACGGCCATCGATACGCCCATGGGCAAGAACCTTATCGGTGCTTTCTGGCAGCCGGAGCGCATCTACATTGATCTCGGATTCCTTGAGTCCCTGCCCGTTCGTGAGTTCATCAACGGCATGGCCGAGGTGGTCAAGACTGCTGCCATCTGGGATGAGCAGGAATTCGACTTCCTTGAGGCCAATGCCTCGCTCATCCTGGAGACTATCCGCGCCAAGCCACCGTCCGCGGCTGCCGAGGCAGGCCGCCTGGCGCCCATTGGTGATATCCTCAAGCGCATAGTCTTCGCCTCTGCCCGTGTCAAGGCCGAGGTCGTCTCCAAGGACGAAAAGGAAGGCGGCCTTCGCAACCTCCTCAACTTTGGCCACTCCATTGGCCACGCTTATGAGGCCATCCTTACGCCCCAGGTCCTGCACGGCGAGTGCGTCGCTATCGGCATGGTCAAGGAGGCAGAGCTGGCACGGCATCTTGGCGTTCTCAGCCCCAGTGCGGTCGCACGACTGGTCAAGTGCATTGCAAGCTACGACCTGCCCACGTCCCTTCAGGACAAGCGCGTCGTCAGGCTCACTGCCGGCAAGCGCTGCCCGGTTGACACTTTGTTAGCTAAGATGGCAGTGGACAAGAAGAATGAGGGTGCCAAGAAGAAGATTGTGCTCCTTAAGGCCATAGGCCAGACCCACGAGCCCCGTGCGACAGTCGTCGACGACACAGCAATCTCTGTCATCCTGTCGCCTGCGGTCACAGTACAGCCTGGCGTGCCAGACGATCTCGACGTCAGTGTCACACCTCCAGGATCCAAGAGCATCTCCAACAGAGCCCTCGTTTTGGCGGCCCTAGGCGAAGGCACCTGCCGTATCAGGAATCTTCTGCACTCTGACGATGTAGAGTTCATGCTCGCCGCGATCAGCAAGCTCAACGGAGCGACTTACACCTGGGAGGAATCTGGCGAGGTGCTGGCCATTACTGGTCGCGGAGGCAAGCTACAAGCCAGCGGCGAGGAGCTTTACCTTGGAAATGCTGGTACCGCGTCTCGTTTTCTTACAAGTGTTGTGGCCCTTTGCGCACCCTCAACTGCTACGTCTACGGTCCTTACCGGCAACGCTCGCATGAAGCTCAGGCCAATCGGCCCTCTTGTCGACACACTGCGCGCCAATGGCATAAAAATCCAATACATGGGCAAGGAGCACAGCTTGCCTCTCCAGGTTGACGCCGCCGGTGGCATTGATGGCGGTGACATTGAGCTTGCAGCGACAATATCCTCCCAGTACGTGTCTTCGCTGCTTATGTGCGCCCCTTACGCGAAAAAGCCCGTCACTCTGCGCCTCGTCGGTGGGAAGCCCATCTCGCAGCTCTACATCGACATGACAATCGAAATGATGAAGGCCTTTGGAGTTTCTGTCGCTAGGTCGCAGGACGAGCCCCATACCTACTGCATACCCCAGGGTACCTATCGCAACCCAGAAGAGTATGTCGTGGAGAGCGATGCCAGCTCGGCCACCTATCCACTAGCCATGGCTGCCATCACTGGAACCACCTGCACCATTCCGAACATTGGGTCTGAATCACTCCAAGGCGACGCTCGCTTTGCCATTGACGTGCTACGGCCCATGGGATGCAAGGTCGAACAGACGGCTACATCTACCACGGTGACCGGCCCTAAACCTGGAGGCCTCAAAGGCATTACGGTCGACATGGAGCCCATGACTGATGCATTCTTGACTGCCTCGGTACTCGCCGCTGTTGCTAGTGGCGAGACCAAAATCACGGGCATCGCGAACCAGCGCGTCAAGGAGTGTAATCGCATTGCTGCCATGCGCACACAGCTTGACAAGTTTGGAGTGCACTGCAAGGAGCTAGAGGATGGCATCAGCGTCGCAGGCAAGCCTATTACGGAGCTGATGCGGCCTGCGGAGGGCATCTACTGCTACGATGACCACCGCGTGGCGATGAGTTTCAGTGTGCTATCCAGTGCTGTGCCTTTCCCTGTTCTTGTTCTTGAGCGCGAGTGTACCGGGAAGACCTGGCCCGGTTGGTGGGATGTCCTCAGCCAGGCTTTCAAGGTAAAGCTGGCTGGCAGCGATACGGACGCGCATGCTACAGAAGCAGCCATGAAAGGTGCCTCCTCGCCCTCGATCTTCGTGATAGGCATGAGAGGTGCTGGAAAGACCACTGCGGGTGGCTGGCTTGCAAGAATCCTTGGGCGGCCTTTCATAGATCTTGACCAGGAACTCGAGCGGCGATTGGGTATGACGATTCCACAAATGATCAATGAGACGGAACGCGGCTGGGCCGGCTTCCGCGAGGACGAGTTGGCGCTTCTCAAGGAGGTCATAACCGAGAAAGGTCAAGGCCATGTGTTCTCTTGTGGCGGTGGAATAGTCGAAACACCTGCAGCTCGAGACTTGTTTAAGGCTTACTGTGCCAATGGCGGCGCTGTGTTGCTGGTCAGCCGCAACATTGAGCAAATGGTAGAGTACCTCAAGCGTGACAAGACTCGCCCAGCCTACTCGGAAGAGATCCGCGGAGTGTACGAACGACGCAAGCAGTTCTACCAGGATTGCAGCAACTATGAGTACCATAGCCCACATCTGGACGCATCAGGTGGGCTGGTGGAAGCTCCCGCAGACTTTGCTCGCTTCGTGGCCCTGATCAGTGGCCGAAGCACCCATCTTGAGGCTGTCAGGGCAAAGAAGCCGTCCTTCTTTGTCTCTCTGACTGTGCCCAATGTGAGGATGTCGCTGGCTGTCATCCCCAGGATTGTTGTTGGCTCAGACGCCGTCGAACTCCGTGTCGATTTACTGGATGACATCTCCCCCGAGTCTGTGGCGGGTCAGATTGCTGCGCTTCGTTCGGCAGCCAAGATCCCTATCGTTTTCACTCTGCGGTCAAAAGAGCAGGGTGGTCGCTTCACGTACAAGTCTGAGGCAGAGTTGCTCCAGCTGTACCGAGTGGCCATGCGAGTTGGCGTCGAGTATATTGACCTTGAGATGGGGCTTTCCGACGACATTTTGGATGCCATTCTGCAGCACCGACCGCCTTCAACAACGGTCATTGCGTCTCACCACGACCCACACGGACAACTAGACTGGAAGACAGGCAGCTGGCAACAATGGTACAATCGCGCACTGCAGTATGGCGACATCATCAAGCTTGTGGGTGTCGCATCCAGAGTCGAGGACAACTTTGCCCTCGCTGCTTTCAAGGAGCAGATGTTCGCTGCACACGGAAAGCCAATCATTGCCATCAACATGGGCGGTCTTGGCAAGCTGTCCCGGATCCTCAACGGCTTCTTAACT